CATAAAAATGCACGCGCGCAACTCCGCGCACTAGATATCAACATGAAAAATAGCTCAAAATGTTCGTCTACACCTCCTCCACATATACCGGTCGCAGCTAAGCGCAGTTCGGTAAGGGTGCTTCGTTCCATGCTTTCAAAAACCCTAAGGATTTTGGGGTATTTCGCAGCTTCCTCCCTTGAGAAAGTGCTTTTGCTTGAAAATAAGGTCATATTCGGAATCAGCGTGAAAAACTGCATCGAATAGTGTATAACTCATCTAGTCTCGGGCGCTTGATTTTGAATTCTAGAAATTGCGCAGTTTTGGAGATTTACACAAACAATTTCGTGCTGAAAATTTGAATTTCAAGATAAAGGAACCTGAACGACTCCAAACATGTTTCTTATAGGTTTTCGACAATGCTCTTTCCAGTGGCATCTTTTTTCAATATTGAGAAAGTTTTCTGAAGGGTTTTTCAGAGACTGGATCTCTGGAAAACTCCTTAAAAAAGAGTTCACTCGTAAAGCTAAAGTCCGCCTGCTCTAGCAAAAAAAGCCCACTGTGCGTCGGGGCGTACATACACGCACTGCGTAGCATGCTTTAAACATGCCGGTGACCTTTGTCTGGTGGTGCAAGTAATGGAAGATCGTTCACACTGTGTTACAGACGTGCATACACGGCGATATGAGGACTGTATCAGCGACTTACACACACACATATACTTAAGAATGGGCGTGCCCATGTTAGTCTGCCGGTTTTGCATACACACAGAGATTTCCACACAGTGTGAGTGGCATACGAAAAAGCAGATATTTCAGTCATGGGCGGATCCGCGTGGCACTCACAAAGGGGCAACACCTGTTGCACAGTGCTCAGCGAGCGCCGACCGAAGGGAGGCGTGAGCTTTGTATTTGATTCGGAGTCATCCAAGGTCTTTTGCAGATCAGAAATTGTAAAGTGAATTGACCGTGCGACTGCGGAGGAACGATTCCTGGAGTATTTATCCGGGTACTGGTAATGAACAATGCACATGGCAGTGTGACGGACGTACATACATCTAGTCAGGTGGTACTTGGGACCGATAGTACAAAGGGAAACAACATCACTAGCTGGAAGCCGTGCGCATCCGGTGGAGAGTCAGCGAGCGAGCGAGCGTTACTTGTGGTCATACGAAAAAAATTTGGTCATAGGAAAAACTGAAAGTGTTTGTGTGTGTGTTTGTCCGTACACGGGTGTGACGGACGTACATACATATAGTCATGTGGAAGTGTGACGGACGTACATATATGTGGTGACCAGCGAGTGTGACGGACGTACATACATATAGTCATGTGGCAGTGTGACGGACGTCTTTGGCCCTACTTTTTGCATAAATACAAGCACTTTCCTACGTCAGCTGTATAGGCAGTCCAAACTGCATTCTTTCATATACTATACTGTGTTAACATCTTGTTTAATCTGTAAGTAACTAAATTTTGTTCTAATTTTTCAATTGTATTTTCTACTTGATTTATGAATGGATTTATTTTGAAAAAGGTCTACGACCGAAACACGTGTCAATAAATTTGATAAAAATTAGCCTAATTCTGCAAATCAGTTATTTAAGCCTAACCTCAGTGTTAGCAAAGATTATCTCATTGAGTCTAACGTCAGTGTTAGCAGAGACTACTTACTAGAATATTTATCTCTACGTATTCAAACAACTACAGCTGAAATTGGAAGAATTGAATTATCAACATTACATTAAATTCAATTAGTATTACGGATATCAATGTTCAGTACCAGTGGGTCGATTTATTTTCTTTAATTCCTTAATTCTATTATTTGAAATTGCTATTAGGATTTATTAACTTATTAGTGTTACTTTTACTTTAAACATAGTTGTATAATATTTATATTGTTGATATTATTGATATTTGTTGTATTAAGGTATATTACTGATATTATATTAGGTTATATTATTAATTATGGCATCAGCAGCTGCTGTTTCTCAAACTACAGCATGTCTCTCAAAAGTGCAAGTAGGAAATAAAGATGAATCAATTGATGACTCATTTCGTATATTTTTTTACTGGTTACAAAATAAAATATGTGAACATGCATTAGTTGATGGTTTTTCTTACCCTTCTGAATATTGGAAAGCGCGTGTAGAATATATTTTATCATTAACTAAAGAAACTACACTTGATGTTACGACTATTAAAAGTATTATTTCTTCCTTGGAATATTTATATAATGAAAAAGATTATACATTTCTAAATAAGGAACAATGTCTATATGCTGTGATTCATTATAATAAAGAATTTGATATTTTATCAAATAATAAATTAGATGACTCACAACTAGGTGAAGAACAGATACTATTAATTAGTAAAATTAAAACTATACATGTATATATTATGAAATCTGGACGGAAATTATCGCAAGCATTGATTGATAAAACATTTAATCATATCGATGATGATGGTGAAATATTGAAGAAATACTTAAATATGAAAAGTGCTGACTATAATTATAAAAATGTAATTGAATTTCTATATCATCAACAACAAACTGATAATAAATTTAAATATTTAAAACAATTACCAGAGTTGTCGCTTGCATATTATTGTTTACCTTATGTTGATCTAATTTCTGGAAAGTTTGATTTGAAATTAAATCAACAACAACAATCTGGTTTAACGACGTCATCTTCCACCACTATAATTACAACATCAACAAATAATATTACTAACAATACTAACAATGCTAGTCCAGTACAACAACGTCAACCAAGAACACCACGACAAAGCTCTCCACATCAACGTAAACGATCATTAACTCCTACACCAGTAACACCTTCTCGTATTTCGACGAGTTTACAAATGTTACCACCAAAGCCAAATCGTCAAACTAATACATCTAATAATAATAATAATAATAAAAATAATCATGATGGGACTGTTACTATAGACGACGATAATGATCAGCATACACAACATGTCTGTGGTATGAGTGATAACGAGACCATCGATAGGAGTAATAATACTGATGATGACGACCAAGATCTTGAACAACGATTGCATCAATTTAGGAATGATTTTGTTTTTATTCCACAAATAACAACAACTACTTCTAATAACATTACCTTGCTTCAACGTCAACCGTTAAATAATATTACTAATAATATTATTATTAAATCTGACAAAACAACAATGACGGAATCACTGGTTTCAACTGATCAATTCATTGATCTACCAAGAAATATCAAAGAACCGTCATCTAAAGAAGAATATATATTGTTTAGAATGTCAACAATTAATGACAATAATAACGCTAAACAATATAATAATAAAATATATGTGGACTCATGCCAACAAACACATAAATCGTTTGTAGGATCTACAACAATCAAAGAGGATTTATCACCACATATTATATATAAAAATGAACTAAATCGTCTCAAACGATACGAAAATCATTTAGAAATTCTAAATGTACATTTAGAACAACAAACATTTCCATCCTCACTTGGTGCAATGCCACGCCCAACAATCGGAGCTGATTGTAAAGATTTTGTGAAAGAATGGAATGAGATTGAAAATGATTGTCGTCGACGATTATTAAATAAAACAATCCAACATGTTGAAGATATTATTAATGATTGTAATACAAAGATTCAGTCTGTTTTTGATTCTGTTGATAATAATAAACGATTAGAGATTGAGGTGCTAGTAGATGAAAAATTAAAACCAGTGTTGAAAAGTCATGGTGTAAATTAATGCGTCAAATAAAACCAAAAATAAAAATTACAAAAAATAATTTTGGTTTTATTAATAATAATAACAATAATAACACCACAACACGTTACCCCACTCAACAATCTCGTTTACCATCTCGTAAACAACAACAACAACAGAAACATAATAATAAAACTAATATTAATAATAATAATGTTAGTACTAAGAAACAACGACAATTAGAACAGAATAAACAGACACAACTGGAAGTACAGAAGAACAAAGTAAGAAGTCTGTGAGTTTTCAGCCGGACACTTCTGCTGCTGTACAACAGCAACAGCAACAGCAAACAAAAAAGACAAATGTTAGTGATAATATTAACAATAATAATAATATTAACTATAATCAACGTCAAAATCAACCATATCGTCGTTTTCAACGATTCTCCAGGTATAATGACAATGATTACAACAATTATTCATCA